CAAGCTCTGCCTCAGAGCTATACGCCTAATGTTGAATAACTGATTTAATGACTATTTGGGTTGAGGATAATTTTACCCATTGTAGACTAATTTTATAAATTTACTCTCTTTCATTGGGACTTTGGGCATATTAATTTGAACTTATGTACATTTTTAGTTTAAAATTTTGCACATGTGGTGTGTTGGTTAGAAACAGTGTTTAAGTGTCTTGTTTAAGTATCTTCCATGAGCAAGATTCCATTTTTTCAGGCATAGGGGCACACAGAAATAGCACTGGATGCATCACAAGTCTTAGGACAGCAGAATAATTTTGAATAGTTACCTGTGAAAGAATGTTGTCAGTATGTATTGTATGTTAGCTTGATTCTTCTCGTGTAAGACTTCTAAAGGTAACTGTGAATAGCAAAAATGAATTGTACCTCAGAAGCTTCTGCATTAGGAAGTAACTAACGGGTAGGAAGTAAAGCACAGACGCAGGTGGTGGTACCAGCCCGGCCAGTTCCGGAAATGAAACAGCTGCGGGGCATAGCTGGAGAGGTGGCTTCAAAGTCATGGTTCGATGTTAACTACTCTGTCATCTTTAATTTACAATTAAGTAAATTAACATAAAGAAAAAATTATTGTTAACTACTGTGTGATCTTTAATTTAAAATTAAATAAAGTTAACAAAGAAAAAACAATTATGTGATCCAGTGTTTGAGAGAGGTTAGTGCCCCCCCTTTTGTTAATACTGTCGGGATTGAACTCAGGGTCTTTGCACTGAGCTACATTTCATTCATTCATTCATTCATTCATTCATTTATTCATTTATTCATTTATTCATTTATTTCTTTTTGAGAGAGTTTCACTATGCAGTTCAGGCTGGCCTTCAGCTTTCTTTGTAGCCCAGGCTGGTTACAACAATCCTCTTGCCTCAGCCTCCCCAGCGCTGGGACTATGGGTGTGTACCATCAAGCCCAGCTAAATGTTTTAAAATTTTGAGACAGGATCTCACTCAGTTTCTCAGGTTGACCTTGAATTTGGCAATACTGCTTCACTGCCGGTGAGAGCCACTATGCCCTGTGAGTCTTTTGTCTTTAAAGCCATCATAGATAATTATATGTAATTAACATATAACATGCCAAAGAAACTGACCATAAACGTCTCCTCTTCCTCACAAAAATGTTATCCAGTCAAACATGAGAATTATTTTTCTTCCCCTTTCATAATGGCCAACCCATTTGCCCCATGAAACATCCTGTTGCTTGCTCATCATGACTTGTTTGCACCATGAGCAAGTTTTAAGTAAATTTTGTGGGATCTCTCTCAGTTTCTCTCCAGGGATTGCTATCTAGGCTATACTAGCCCACAACTCTTATCTTGCCTCAGCCTACAAAGTTCTGGGATTATAGGAGAGTGAACCATGGCTGGTTTAAAATTTGGGGTGTTCATTTAAGAGATTCAAACATTCAGTGAGAATACTCTCAGTTTTCTTTGCATGTTTTGGCTGTGTACAGGTACCTTTAAAAAAGATATGCCTGGGTATGGTAACATGTCCCTGTAGGAGGGTTACAGTGAGTTCCAAGCTAGTGTGGGATACAAAGCCTCAGTCTCAAAAAAAAAAAAAAAAAGAAAAGAAAAGAAAAATGGAAAAAGAAAAGAAAGATGTGTTTCATCTAAATTTTTTTCCTGATACTGGAGATTGACCCTAGGGCCGTCACACTGAGCTGCTACCTCCTTTCCTCCTTTTTTAGTGGGGGAGGGGATACAGAGTTTTAACAAGTTTCTAAATTGCTGAGACTGGTAGGGAATTTGAGATTCTCCTGACTCATTCTCCTAGACTACTGGGATTTATAATCACTAGATCTTCCCCTAAGTGTCTTGAATTCTAGAATTTTTACATTGGCTACTTGAAGAGTTGTAGTATTTTAGATCCCATTTTCAACTGAGTGATATTCTTTTGAGTAAAGTGAGTTTTAGAGTGTACTCAGTAATACTCATTTAAAACTATTTTATATCAATGACTGAATTTTGTCTTTTTTTAATAGCTGAATTTCTGTTAAGATTTTTTTTGTTTTTATAATTAGATGAACTTTAGTATATTTACAGAGTTATGTTACTTTTTTTCTTTTTGGTTTTTTTGAGACAGTCTTGCTTTGTTTTTTTTGTTTGGTTGGGTTTTTTTTTTTTTTTTTTTTTTGTTTTTTTTTTTTTTGAGTCTTGCTTTGTAGTTCAGGCTGCCCTTGATCCCTACACAGACCTCCCACAACGTAGGAGAGCTGGGAAGGGTGGCACTTACCTGTAGTCCCACCATTTGCGAGGCTGAGGCAAGAGGATTGCTGTGAGTTCCATGCTAGCCTGAGGTACATAGTGAGACCCTGTTTTTTTCTTTTTTTAAAAGATTTTTTAAAAAAGAAGCAGAAGCGATTTGGTTTGGCTCATGGTTTCTGAGGATCCAGTCAGTGGTTGGCTGGTTCTAAAGCAAGACCATCATTCCACAGGGTGCTGGAGAGCAAAGTTGCTCTTACCTTGACATCTGGGAAGCAGAACACAGAGATGCCAGCAAAGAGGTCCGTCACCCAAAGGCAGCCTGAGCCTCCCCACTCCTAATACTACATTCAACCTTGAACAGCTGTGCTCTGATTTGTGTGTATAGTATCCCCATGATCCAGTCGCCTCACCTATCCAGAAGTCTTTTTATCTGGTCTCAGTGACAGATAAGATTAACTGGCACATGAAGTAAGAGTACAGGTTTGTTTTATTTTGTTCAGTTTTCCGTGTGAGTGTCCATTTTTTCAGCACCATTTGTTGAAAGATTGTGCCATTGCTTTTTTTTTTTTTTTTTTGATATTTTTTAGGGAAGGGTCTACAGAGTGTTCAGGGTCTCACTACTAGATCTGACTCATAATGATACACCTATTTACAGCCTCCCAAGAACTGAGATTACAGACACGCGCCACTATGCCCAGTCTCAGTTGCCATCTCAGTGTGCCCCTAGGGGGGCGGGGCTGGCATGGCAGGTCTGGGGATTGAACCCCTGTTCCCTATGCCTGCTTGCAGGTGCTTTAATCCGCCAAGCTATTTGGCCGGCCCTTGTGCTATTGTTAACAAACATTCCTTTTGCCTTTTCTTTCCTGCATGAAAAGAAGTGCGTGCTAGGTCAGTACTCTGCACTGAGCTATATCCCCAGCTGATTCTTGGCATCTTTGTTAAAATCTGTGGCTTTAAATAAATGTAAGGGTTTATTTCTGGGTTCTCAATTCTGTTCCATTAATCTGCTTACCTGTTTTTTTGCAGATTGCACTGTCTCAATTGTGGTAGCTGAGTAGTAGATTTTGAAATCAAGAGAATATCAGTTCTCCAGCATTGGTTCATGATGGTATTGGGTCTCTTGCTTTTTTTTTTTTTTTTGGAACCAGGGATTGAACTCAGGCCCTTGCCCTTGCCAGGGACGTGCTTATTCCACTGAGCCATTTCCCCAGCCCCCTCTTGCATTTCTATATGAATGTTAGGGTCAGTTTGCTAATTTCTGAGATTTTGGTTGCATTCGGTTAAATCTGTAGACCAGTATTGCCATTTAACAGTGTTGTCTTGTTTGTTTTATTTTGTTCTGTTTTAAGGAAGGAAAGGTTTATTTGGCTCACAGTTTGTGGAGGTTTTAGTCCATAATTAGCTGGCTCCAAGGCAGGTTGGCATGGCATAGGAGCAACAGATCAAGGTGGCAGAAGACAGGAAGAGCAAGAGGGGCTTTTGTTTTGCTTTTTGAAAGACAAGGTCTCACTCTATTATTCAGGCTGGGCTTGAATTCCATAGAAAGTGAAGGCTGGCCTCAAACTCTCAGTGATCCTCCTGCTTCAGCCTCCAAATGCTGGGGTTACAGGTGTGCACCACCATCATATCCAGCTGACAGTCTTAAATCTTTTGATCTATAAATATGTAAGACTTTTCTATTTATTCAAATCTAACACATTCAGCATAATTACATAGCTTTCAGTTTATGATGATTCTACTTTCAGTTTCTGGGATCACAGGCCTGTACTACAATGTCTGGCTAGAGTTGCTACCTAATGTCATTTTTGTGTTGTGTTAATTTTCTACTTGTTTGTTCTTTAGACATAGTGTTTGGAAGCATGACTCCTGTTTGAGTGTGTTACTTAATGATTTTATCTTACTTAGCTACATTGTATAATACATATCAAACTGGTTGAGGTTCCTTAGGTTTAAGTTATTGCATTATATTAGTCTGCCTAGCAGGATAGTATCAGATTTTGTATAACTCAGATTATTTAGTAACTCATGCTAGGATTATAATGCCTTTAGTTTCATAAAACATAATTTTTTTATTTTTTATTTTTTTTGGTGGAGCCAGGGATTGAACTCAGATCCTTGCGTTTGCCAGTCAAGCGCTTATCCTACTGAGCCATCTCCCCGGCCCAAAACATAAATTTTTAATGGATAGATATACATTTTGAAGGAATAGTCACTTTTTTTTGAGATGCGATCTCACTGTGTAGCTCAGGCTGGTTTTGAACTCACTATATAGCCTAAGCTGACCTTGAACTCTGGCAATCCTCCTGCCTCAGCCTCCTGAGTCCTGGGACCACAGGCATGCACCACCATGTTCAACCCAAAGGAATAGTCACTTGATTTTTTGATTGATTTTTGTTTTTGTTTTGGCGGGTTTGTTTGTTTGTTTGTTTGTTTTCAGAGAATCCAACGCAGGGCCTCACACTTGCCAGGCAGGCACTGTACCCTGGAACTGTATCTGTGACCCTTGATTTTGTTTTGGATTGTGGATGAGTAGCATCTGTAGTTTCATTGCCACATGAAATTAAAAATTTAAAAAACGGAAATAAAACTCTTGTGACATTAAGTACTTTATTTTGTTTACCACCATATTTGCCTGTAACTAAAATATAAATAATTTTTAAATTTAATTTTCTCTCAGTTATGAGACAGAGCTTTAAACTTTAAGTTTTATTTTCATGAGATTATTTCTAAAATGTTAACATGTTTTTCAGGGTCAGATAAATGAAAGCATGGACCATGGGGGAGTTGGACCATATGAACTGTAAGTTTATATATTAATATTTTCACTGTGCTTTCTTTTTTTGTTATGCTAGTTGCAGTTCATACCCAGCAAGTGATTTCAATAACATGTTCTTAAATAGCCAGTTATGTTTGTAGGCTTGCTTTATTAAGTTTGGCTCTAAAATCTGATCAATGTAATGATATATCCAGAGTTTTGATATTGTATATAAACTTGGAGAAAACAATACTCATTCACATTCAGAGTATAGGTCTGAAAAATTCCTTAGGAATTTTTATTAGTTTAATATAGAGAATTATATATCTAACTTTTTTTTTTTCTTGGCGGAACCGGAAGTTGAACTCAGGCCCTTGCTCTTGCCCGGGAAGTGCTTATTCTGCTGAGCTATCTCCCCGGCCCCCTATCTGATCATTTTTCACTTAAAGTTTTGGAGGAATTCCCTATCATTGAGAGATTTGTATGAGAGAGAGAGAGAATGAATAAATATGAATGTGTGTGTGTGTGTGTAGATAGGGACTCACTATATAGTTCAAGTTGGTCTTGAAATCATGGTGTAGCCCAGGATGGTCTCAAATTTGTGATGATCTTCTTGCCTCAGCCTCCCAAGTGCTGGGATCGTAGATGTGTGCCACCACATCCAGCTTCAGATTTGTGCATGAATCAGTCATTTTAAACAGTCTCTGTTAGGTGAATGTGGTGATTAATCTGTTCCCTACCCACCCTAGGTAAAAAACTTTGCTATGGGAGGAGACTGACAAGATAGATCATGCACACAGGAAACATTTATTTACTTATTTATTTATTTTGGCGGAACCGGGGATTGAACTCAGGCCCTTGCACTTGCCAGGGAAACGCTTATTCCACTGAGCCATCTCCCCGGTCCCCACACAGGAAACATTTAAATGACAGTCATCACCAATTTTGAAGTATTTAAGTGAGGCCAATAATTAATCAATAGTAAATTCTGTGAACAAGTAGATAGTTACCAGCCCCCTACCATGTCAGTGAATTATGATTTCACTTACCACACAGATACTAATTTTTTTTTTTTTTTTTTTTTTGCAGAACCAGGGATTGACAGATACTAAATTTAATGTCATGTATTTTTTTCCTTTTACTTAATTGGATTCCATTCCTATTTCTCCTTTCTAACAATATGCTAAAGATAATTTTAACTTTTTGCAAATTTACTTTTGGTTTTGTTTTTCTTCCCAGTGGCATGGAACATTGTGAAAAATTTGAAATCTCAGAAACTAGTGTGAACAGAGGGCCAGAAAAAATCAGACCAGAATGTTTTGAGCTGCTTCGGGTACTCGGTAAAGGGGGCTATGGAAAGGTAGGAAGTATTTATGAAATGAGAGCTATTGTGTGTCTTGGGTAAATTGATTTTCATACTGTACCTCCAGCAGCCTGTTAGCTATCAGCCAAAGATATGATGGTCACTTGGTGAGATTTGAGGAATTAAGAAATTGAGTTTTCTTTCCTCTGCCTGCCACTCCCCCATGTAAACACTGGCTATGTAATTGGTACTCAGTATTTCTTTTTTTTTTTTTTTTTGGTGGAACCGGGGATTGAACTCAGGCCCTTGCACTTGCCAGGCAAGCTCTTATTCTACTTAGCCATCTCCCTGGCCCCTAGTATTTCTTAAGTAAATAAGCAGCTGGGGCTGGAAAGATAGTTCAGTGGTATAAATGCCATCCTGGCAAACACAAGGTCCTGAGTTTGATCCCCAGTACCAAAAAATAAAGCAGCTGTGCAAAACAAAGTCTATTATTAATGTGTTGGTTCTTTACTTTGGTTAAATGGTATCTTGTAGGTATCTTCTTTAAACATAAATAGATCACTCCTTACTTTTTTTTTTTTTTTTTTTGGTACTGGGGATTGAACTCAGGACCTTGTGCTTGCCAGGCAAGCACTTATTCTACTGAGCTATCTCCCCCCACACTCCTTTTAAAAGAGACATGTTTACTAGATGATCTGTTCCCAAGATCTTAATCTGAATTGGTATTCTTTGACTTGCAGTATCTGGAGAAATAGAGTTAGGAAAGGAAAAAATATGAGAAGGAATACAAAAATGCATTTTCATAGTTTTGCCCAATGCCTACTAATTTAATGCCTTACCTTTATGATGCTCTATCCAAAAGGGGAGGAGGGAGTTCTATCTGTTTTAAAGGTAGAATTTGGATAACTTCCTTAGGATTGAGTTTAAAAACTACTTATGGTATTAGTGTTAATTTCTGTGAATTATGACATTCGTAGCTTATTATACTTATGGACACACTGTAATATGTTCGTATCATTCTGAATGTGTACACATACATTTTGAATCTCACATACTTTAACTGTTGCTTGAAAATGTAGCACTAGCCATTTAATGGAATAGGTAAATGATGATTTCCTGCCAATTATTATTAACTAGTTTTTTTTTTTCTGTTAACTAGTTTTATGTGAAGAAAGAATAGCAGCACTCCTCAAATAAATTTATAATCTATGTTAGAATTTTAAGTTCATGGCTGTGCTCCTCAGAACCATGGCTAGAGTTCATATTGTGGAGTGCTCATCCTGAGATGGTCATTTCCCAACCTTGCCACCAGATGGCAACAGATGAAGCAGGAAAGTCCCAAATTCAACAGATTTCACTACAGTAAATACTAAAATGCTCTGTACTAGCTGATCATTTTTAAATCCAGCCCTTTGTGGTGTTAGTTTTTATAATATAAACTGCTGTATCATTTGTTTCTGATAAAAAGGAAATCAAAGGATATGACCTATATAGTTAGGCTTTTAATAATACAAACTGTTCGTTTTCCAGGTTTTTCAAGTGCGAAAAGTAACAGGAGCAAATACTGGGAAAATATTTGCCATGAAGGTGCTTAAAAAGGTGATGCCTCCCCTTTCCCCTTGTTCTTTCTGACCCCCCCCCACCTCCACCCCCAGCTGCACAGTGCTAGGGACTGAACTCAGGGCCTTGACATTGTGGGCAAGTACTCTGCTGCTGAGCTGTATTTCCTAACCCTATCATATAATTATTTAACCCTACTTACCTTTATTAGTGATACACACTTTTAGCTTAGCTGTGCATAGTGGTGCATTCTTATACTCATATCTGTGGGTGGCTGAGGCAAAAGGATTATAAACTGGGAGTCCGGCCTGGACAGCACAGCAAGACCCTGTCTCAAAATTTAAAAAGGAAAGAAAAAAATTAGCTTCAGGGCCATTAAAATTCTCAGTTCAGAAGATGATTTCTGGAGGCTGGGTTGTAGCTCAATGGTAGAACTTGTGCTTTGTGTACATGAAGCCTTGGGTTCAATCCCTAGCACAAAAATAAAAAGTGAAAATTATTTCTAATATAGTGATTGTCTTGGAATTTGAGATATGTTTTTGTTATTTTGATTATTGTTTTATTTCTGCTTGATTAGGTTAGAAAGGAGAATACTTTTAGTTCTTTTTTTTTTTTTTTTTTTTGAACAGGGGATTGAACTCAGGCCCTTGTGTTTGCCAGGGAAGTGCTTATTCTATTGAGCCATCTTCCTGGCCCCCTTTTAATCTTATTGATAGATTATAGTTCTCTCCCACCTTGAACCTATCTTACTTCATGGCTTTACTCAACCAAACACCATTAAGAAGTGGATTTGGGTGCAAGCAACTTTGCAAGACACGTCTTTCCCTCTTAATCAGAGGATTTCTTTCTCTCAATAAATTCCTTCTCTTAATTTCTGTTGTTCCTAGAATCCATTACTTCATTACAGAGGACACAAACTTGGCATTTAAGACATCTAGTAGGTTGAGTGCTTCATTGCCCCATATCACTTACTGCTGAGCCACCATCATTGGGCTTGTGATCCCCTGCCTCAG